CTCCTCGCTTTGTCAATCTGAGGGAAAGCCCGCCCACCCTCCCTAACGGGCCGCTAGTCTCCTCCATCTTCTTTTCCTGCCCCGCTTCTTGTTGACGCCACGTTCCCAACGGCAACCGCCTCTCCTCTGATAGGCTGGAGGCTTGTGATACATCCCTGTCACTCACGAGGCTGTACTGACAACTGATTGGCCCCCGGGGCTCTTCCGCGACCAGAGCAGGAGTGGGAGGAAGGGGCGGGGTTTTCCTTCGCGCAGGCGCACTGGGTTGGGAGGGCGGAGCCTGGATCAGACGGCTTTATGGCCTGTAATGGAGCGTGTCCGCTGGGCCTTTCCTTGCGCCGCTTGGCGCCCCGGCTGCCGGGACTGGCTGCTGGCCGCGCGGCTCGTGCAGCCCGAGGAGCGGGACCGCGTCCGCCGGCTCGTCTTTGCCCGTGATGCCAAGGCGGCCCTGGTACCCGGGGAGGGGGGAGCGGGGCTCGGGAAGCTGTACTGGGGGCAGCACTGCGGCCGTTTTCGCCTCTCGCAAGGGGGCGGCAGGGGGAGCCCGCTGACCACACTGTCCCGGTTCTGGGGCAGGGGGTTTTACTCCCTTCTTGGCCCACTACATTCTCTCCCCCTGCCCCCTCCCCTGCTCCTCTCTGCTAGGCTGGCCAGACGTCCAGGGTTGACCTGGGAATTGGATATTAATCTGTAGGAGACTGCTGAGAGTCACCCAGGAGATAAGTGACAAGGCGTGCATTAAAATAAATATTATTAAATGTTGGGTCTGATTTATACATTTGTCATTTTAAACACTATTACATTAATTATGACATTATTATTCATACACTGTTACATTGTAAAAGCTAGGGTTTTTAAACGCTAGTTTTTAAAATGTAATAGTCACATGCATTTGCCTTCGTGACACGCCGTAATTACGTCCTGGGATGTAACCTGGAATAGACTCAGACGGAGCTGGCAGCTCTCTGTCTCTCTGCCCTTCTCGTTCCCCTACTTTATTGTCAGATGTTGCTTGGGCTCTAGTCCCTGGTTGGAGGGCTTGGCCAAGCCTTCGATTAATGGTGTGATTTTTTTAACAAGCCACAAAGTTAGTACAAAGGGATCAAAACGTGTGGCAGAGGTGGTATCTTTTAGGCCAACTAGATGTTTGCAAAAAAACTTTCTTCGCAAGCTTTTAGGCACAGACCCCCTTCATTAGGCTTGGGAGATTGCAAAGATTGTGAAAGTTCTCCTAGGTGGAAATGAAAATTCATATCACAAAGGAGAGCTGAAGGTGTTTTCTGTACATGTCTTTTGTGGAAAAACTTTGTTCCTTTTTTGTCTTAATTGTGCCTTTAATTGGTGGAATGAGTAGCTGGGGCACAATTTAAGGTGTGACTACCTGGTTAATCGCATAGTAAGGGTAACATGTAGAGCAGGCCTGTGAGGCATTTATAATGGAAAGTGTGCTCAGTTTTCCTTATGTAGCCAAGAGGGGAGTAAAAACTAGGAGAGAAATTCAAGGTCCCCCTTGGAAAATATTAAGTAGTAAGTTTGAAACAAACTGAAGAAAGTTCTTTTTCACTCAGCGTCATTCAGGTGTGGAACTTGTTGGTCCCAGAGGCTGTGGAAGCTGACAGTTTAGCCAGATTCAAAAGGATTGGACAAATTCTTGGAGGAAAGGGGCATCAGTAACTATTGACATGCAGTCAATGTGACATCCAGTCAATGTGACATCCAGTGGATGATCAGCATCAGGGGAATTGAGGGTATAGCCTCTGAATCAGAACTTCCTAGACCTTAAATGCTGGAGGCTAGAAGTGACAGAAGAACAGTGGTGGGGAGAGAAACCCTGGTCAGAACTAGTTCTCTCTCCCTTTCAGCATCCACTCTCTGGCTCTGTGACGGGCAAGATGGACCTATGGTCTGACCAAGTAAATGGCAGTTCTTATGTTACTGTGGGGTGTCTTGAGTCTGAAAAGGTTGAGAACCCTGAGTTTTCTACAGCCTGCCTTCCCCAGAGAAGACTCAGGGTGACTTATACTAACACGGCCCCCCCCCCCAATGAAACATGAAAATACTGCCGGGGTGTAGGTTCTAGCCATGTTGGTCTAAGGACATAGGCAGGCAAGGTTCTTTGGGTGAATCTGATATCTTTTATTAGACCAACTGAAATAGTTGGAGAACAATTTTTAAGCAAACTTTCGGGTTCAAAAACCCTTTGTCAGGCTAAGGAAGTTTTAGCAGTTGATGTGTGCTCTTCCTGGATGGGATGAAAAGTAAAGCCAGAGGCTGGGCTGGTATGCATATAAGACAGGCAGTCAGTGAAAATGTAGATAGAGGAGTCAATGGGTGAGAGACTGGCTGGGTTGTGGGGGAGAGAAGGGGGATGAATAGAGAAGTACCTTAGAAGAAAATACTACAACACTCAAGTAGAATAATATGCAATAAACACCAGGCTCCCCAGACAATGCCTTGAAGTTCTGCTCAGCTCCCCCAGCAAGGTACTCTAAAAAGACAGTGAAAGAAAAGTCTTTCGCAACTTTATTTTGTGATATGACATCCAGTGGGTGATCAGCAGGGATCTTGATTTTCTCTGATTTAAAAAAAAAAAAAAAAATCCCCAATTTTTGGTTTAAAAAAAGTAACCCCAAATCCACATTTGTCCATAATTAAAATAAAACACCTCTCTCTCTCTCTCTCTCAATATAGAGAGATATGTAGATATCTATTATTAGTGGCATTTCATTTTAATCGTAGAAAAATGTGGATTTTAGGTTACCTTTTTTTTAATCCGAAGATTGGGGATCCTTTTTTATTAAAGGAAACCAGGATCCCTGGTGATCAGCATCATGCACTACAACACGAGCACACGATATAAAAAGACATAAGTTGATGCATCTTGGAAAAGTCATGGAACCTGAAGTTTTAGCTTTATGCTTATCTATAACAGCAAGTTGAGTAATATGAAATGTCAGACACAAAAACGTTTTAATGCTTTAGACCTATTTCTACAAACCCTCATTTAGGCTTTAAATAAAAGCAATACGAAGGGGAAAGCTAAGTTTTTCACTTGAATATGCTGTAAAGACATACTGTCCAATGTTGGACTTGTGGGTAGAGAGTATGCTAAATAGGCTACATAAAAGATAGAAAATCCTATTTAATTACAGTTTGATTTGTTAGAATGGGAATTGGTTTTTTTGTGCCTGGTATTGTACAGCATATAATGCTGCTATGTAACAAATAATAGTTACAATGGTGAACTGAGTGGATACATTTTAGCCTTTTTGTTAATTTACACCATGTTAAGGCATTTGTAAATAGTTATGTAGTTCAAATAATTAATATTTAGTTCTGTGTTGTCTTACCAATAATGTATATAAACTAAAATTATCACGGTAGAACTTTAGCAGTTACAACCTGTTCTTTGTACACAGAGTAGTAGTTCTATTTGTATCATCTTTAAATTATTTTATTTCACAGGCTGGGCGTCTGCTGATAAGGAAACTAATCGCAGAAAAACTGTGGATACCTTGGAATGAAATAGTCTTGCAAAGGACATCGAAAGGGAAACCTTTCCTGGCAAATAGCATATCCAGTATCCATTCCAATTTCAACTTTAATGTGTCTCATCAAGGGGATTATGCTGTCCTTGCAGCTGAGCCTGAACTTCAGGTTGGCATTGATATCATGAAGACTAGTTTGCCAGGTAATATGTTAGCATTATCAAAGCAAAGTTTATAATGTCCCCTTATTGAATGTTTTAAGGTTATTAAAAATCAACAAGTAGTTAAGTAGTAATTGTTACTGGAGAAGAGCAAGAATGAGCCAAAACTTTTATTTGATTTCTTTTACATCACAGGTTATATTTTTTTGCTTCTTTTTTGCTGTAACATTTTTGATAACTCATTTTGCTGTGCTTCTACTTGTATATTTCCACCCTTCAAGTTGAAAATACAACCATGGGCCAGCCAGTAGCCTCCTTGATTCTCCCTGCGATCTGCAGGACTGACATCTGGAGAAATCTTCATTGCCTGAATGTTTTTTAAAATGCTAAACTTCACAGAAGTTGCCAGTTTGCTTATTCATTGGCATAAAACTGGAAGGTAACCCGGTTATAGATGAATGAAATGCAAAGCAGAACACTGTAAATATAAATGATTTCTAGATGTGTTCCAAAAACATGTAGTTTTGTGACGAGCTTTTCATATAGACAAGTTCATTTTAAGTATGGCTAGATTAAAGGAGAGAAGTATACTGGAACTTTCAGCACCTGTTTGGTTTTTTTTTTACTGGCATTAATTCCCACTAAGCTAGTTGCTTCTTTAGAAAATTTATAAACAAATAACAAAATTGATATGAAACTGTAAGGAATCTATTTCATTTTCTGTAGAAGACATTTTTTTCCATATTTCCTCCACAGTCATCAGTTTGTCCATTTTTATGTGCTATGACACTTTTATAGTAAACAATTAATTATCCACTAAGTAGGATGTGGAGGGTAGGTGTGTGCTGCATCCTTCTCTGACCTTAAAGGAGTTGAAGAAGCATATATTGTATTTTCTTGCATATAACCTGCACCTCTGGGCCCAAAACCAGCTGGGGAAAATTGTGGTGTACATTATACAAAAGCAAAGGTCTCCACATGGGTCTGGAAATTTCAAGGGAGAGGGGAGGGTGGAGCAGTGGCAGTATTAATTGCTGCAGATCTGGGAGCCAGGGCCAGGAATGCCCAACCGCTCCCCCCACCACCTCCTCACCCCTCCTGTTCCCCACTATTTCTGCTGCCAAATTTCAGGACCTATGGGGAACCGCTGTCCCCCGCTGTGGACTGGACTGGGATAGTACATGGGGGTGTGTACAAATGGACCCACTGCACCAAGTCTGATCCAGCTCATGGCCTGGGTCCTGGCATGTGGCTCCAGAGTCAGTGTGTGATCTCAGAGTCAATATGCAGGGTTGGACTTGGCGCACAGCTCCAGTGCTGGTGTTCTAGTTTGGGTTTGGACATGTAGCTTCAGTGTGGTGTACCAAATTGGGCCCTGGTACGTGACTCTCAGCTCTAGAAACCCCAAACCTCTACTCCAAAGTAAGATTTTTTTGTCCTTCTTGGGGTCTTTCAAAACTAGAGTGTGTATTTATATTTGGGAGCATGTTATATGCGAAAAAATGTGTTATATGTAATATAGAATAAGACTGTCATTTGGCATATATAGTGCTGTATATGTTGTTTTTGCAGATGTATAAAATCCCTTGTGCTTTCTTCCTCATGATTAGCTAGTCATATCTTCTACTCCAGAGGAAACCAAAATATCAACATGAATCTCTAAAACACTGTTAAAGTTATTCTTTTTCCCTTCCTGTTTCCATTTGTTGTGTATAACAGAGTAAAAACGTAAAAGAACACCTAGGTGACACACAACTTCAGGGTTAAAAACCTTCCTGTCAAAACTATTCCAAAATCACTTTAAACTACAGTAAAATCTCTGTTGTTCGGCATCCCCAGGGTAAGGGGATTGCTGGTTACGTAAAAACTCTGGTTATCTGAAATAACCTGGCAGGGTTTTCAGGTAACATGGAACTGGGGTGGGTGGGGAGTGGGGGTGGCCACATGCATAGCGCAGGGTGGTGAGTGGCGGCAGTAGCCACCACATGTGAGCTTCCCCTCTCCCTCTGCAGCACCCAGCTGGCGGAACTCAGGGAGTGGGATGTCAGTGGTCGCATGTGGAGTGGCAGCAGCACAGGGTGGTGGGTGGTGGCAGCCATTGCTTACAAACTTCCTCCCACCCCAATGTCTGGCCAGGTGGCCAGAAACTCTGGTTAATGGAGTATTCCAGTTGGTTAAGTACTGGATAGTAATGCTGTGCAAAACAGCACCATTTTGTTTTGCCGTTTTGATGGGACAGTTTCATTTTGAGTTTCGTTTAATTTCGAAGCGTTGTTCCATTTTGTTATGTCGAAACCGTTTCCCTGTTTCAACGCTGTTTTCAACGTTTCACCTATAGGCTATAATGGGGAAGCACGAAACTGCCTATAACTTTGTCATTTCTTGCCTGATTCGAATAAAACTTGCAGGAATATAACACCTTCTGAGGCCATGATGCCTGCCATTCAAAGAGATTGGTGCAGGGGGGTTTTGGGAAACTGCACCTCAAGCTGCTGACGAGCAAAACTTGTGTCACGTGTGTGCTAAGGCACAGCAGGGTAGAAAACTTCAGCTGAGGTCATGACGCCTGCCAGCTTTCAAGGAGATAGGTGCAGGGGTTTCTGAGAAACCTCACCTCAGGCTGCTGATGAGCAAAACCCATGACACGTGTGACTTTGTGTGTTAAGGTGTGCCCTCACTGGTGCTGGGGCCTCTATACAACACGGTAGTGTGCCCCAATGATGCCTCCTCTTCTCCTATAGTCTTAGACTGGTCCACCACTTTAAATAACAAGTAAAATAATAGCTTAGTGAGCAGCAGCACTGTAGCACCAGCAGCATCTCTGGTAGCCAAACTGTTACAGAGCCTTTCTTTCCTCTCCTGCAGGAGCTTCTTTAGCAGTTGCTGGAGAACTCTCCCTGCCAGCCCCAGCCCTGGGGCTTAGATGTACCCAGGACCCTGAGTCCTTCCAGTCAGGTGTTAGGGGTGTTGGTTTAAGGACATGGCACTGGCACACAAGGTCCTTTAGGTCAATCTAATCTGGTATATTTTAACAGACCAACTGAATAATTACAGAAAGATATCTTAGCACGGTTTTGGGTTGGAAAACCCTTCATCAGACTGAGGAAGCACCTGCAGTTGGTGTGTGTGCTGTTCCTGTATGGAAGGAATAGTAAAGAAGCCAGAGGCTGGCATGCAATGCAAGCAAGAAAGCCAGTCAGTGAAAATAAATATGGAGGCGTCGAGGGGAGAGGGACAGGCTGGGGTGGGGGATAAGGAGGATGTAGCAGTTGGGGTAAAAATGGAGACGTAACTGGGGAGTCAGATGTCCAGCAGGTTCTAGTGTGTCAGAATTCCAATGTCTATATTGAGTCCGTGAGTTTCTGTACCTATTACCTAGGAGGCTGATGAAGTGCAGTTCATAGGCTCATCTGTGAAAAGTGGTTTGTATATTCAAACAAGCACTTAACTTTGCTAACCACATCACCAGAAGCCAACTTCCTGCAGTCCAGAACACACTGAATGGGTCCAGGCCATGCCATGACAAGACACGCAAAACCTGCCAACAATATCTCCAGTATGGGAGATGTCTTCACAATACAATATGTATCTCCACCAGGGTGCCAAGTGTCCTGATGGAAAATACGTGGAGACACCAAGCAACAACTGTGCACCAGAATGAGCACACCCTGAAATTCTATCAAAGACAGCAGCAGAACACAACCTGTCTCCAATCTCTTAGGCCTTATCTTCAAAGGAAATTGAGGATTCCCTAAGTACAGAAATCCATGGATTAAATATAGACATTGAAATCCTGACACATTACAACCTGCTGGACATCTGACTCCCCAGGTACCTCTCCACTTTTACCTGTGGAGCTACAACCCCCTTCCCCCCCACCAGGCCATCCCTCTCCCCCTGAGGCCTCCATTTCCATTTTTACTGACTGGCTTTCTTGCATTGCATGCCAGCCTCTGGCTTCTTTACTATTCCTTCCATCCATGAACAGCACATGCACCAACTGCAGGTGCTTCTTCAGCCTGACAAAAGGTTTTTCAACCCAAAAGCTAGCATCCCAGACAGCTAAGCTGAGCTCACCTGGAGCCTCACAGCTCCACTGCAACCAGCAAGCCGCAGGCCTGTCAAAGACATGACGGGTCTGGGCTTTCCCTAGCCAGGACTGTGTGTACGTGTGTGGTGGCTGGAGGTTATGGCATCTCCTACCCACCTTTCACCAGGGAGAGCCTCAGTCCTGGCATTTCCTGGAGCTGCCACGTCATCAGCAGTCCCACCTGGCCTCCTGACCCTGGCAGAGTGCAGTTTTAGTGGTCATGCTCAGGACTTGGGGCCTCCTCCTTCCCCATAGCCCCAGCCTATACCTCCAATTCATCCTGACATGGGAGCTCAGCAGGGGCATGTTCTTCCCCTGCTGGCTGGTGAGGCAGTGAGTGCCCCATCCAGCTCTGAGAGCAGGATATTAAATGGTGTTTAACAAATGAAAAAAGAAAAGGAAGGAAATAGGTGCCGACAGAATGAGGAGGGTGGCATTCACTCCATCTGCACCTGGAGCTTGGAGAACCCCAGGAGCAGGAGGTTCACCTTGAGGAACACCAGCTGCTCCACCAAACCAGGATCCAAGCAGGTGCAGTGAGGTGACACTACATCCCCACAATGCTGAGCACCCTCCCGTTCAGAACACTGGTCGGTGAACAGGACAGGTGTTCCCAGGCAACCATTCTTTTTTCTCCTGTTGTCAGTGAAAGACAACTTTAATGCCTACTTTGCCACTTACAGCTTAATAATAAACATTTGTTTAATATAAGTGAAAAACAAGAGAGTTAATTTCATATTACAGAGATTACAAACCAGAACTATTCCTTAAAACAAAATGTGTAATTTGTCAGTTCTCCTATGACAATATTTTATCACTATGGTACAAGGGGGAAAATCATAATTTTCAAATTCTGTTAAAAAAACAAAAACCTTTTGTTATTGCCATACTGTTGTCCTTTCTACTATATGTTTATAAATTAAAATTAACTAAAGTAATATTTGTATTTGAG